AAAGTAAAACTATTGATTCAATTTTAAACTTAAATCGTTTCTGAATTTAGCTATTTTTTGTTATATTACCATGGGGTGTGGGTGATAGTACTTGCCTCCGTTATTTTTGACGGGCTATACGCTAGTGTATGTAATAAAATCGGGACTAAAATTTTTCAGAATGCACCTCGTACGCGGTCTTGTCTAACTTAAATTGCTAGTCAATAAATCTTCAATGCGTTTTTGCCCTCTTGTATACTAAATTTCTGGGGTTAAAATTTCTACACATTTGTGCACTGATGGGTGAGTGGCAAATGTACCGACTTTCAATGCTAAAATCCGCGGTTGCAGACAGAGCACAGATAACCAATGTGTGCAAGAATGACCGAGTTCGTATCGGCCTACGCCCGTGACAGCAAGATTAGTGTTCCCCCGATGGGATAGCGGTAAGTTTACAGACTTGCAACTTTAAATTCCAAGGTTCGATTCTCCGCGGTGGTTACAGCAGAGAGCCCAATGTGGCTTTCCTCTAAAACAAACAAGCAGGATTTGTAGCTGTAAAGTTTCACCGTTATATTTTCCCGTTGTATAAATACTTTTTTTTTACTTTATTATTTCTAATAAAACTTTGAAATTACTGTGTCATCGCAATTATAAGACTGAAATTGCAGCATTGTACTTGAAATATGTATACTACGCAAGGGTAAATACACAAAATGAATAATTTATGACTTCTATCTGGTAAGTTAGGAATCCAAATATAAAATATCAACAGTAGCGCTAATCTATAAAAATTGCGTTTTTTTAAACAAATGTGTTCTAAAAAATCTGCATTTTCAAATATAACGCTTGCATTTTTACATATTGTGCCAAGATAGGTTATTACCGATTTAACAGTATTTGAGATTATATAAGTTAACATGCAAACAGTAATGCAACTCCTATAGCGCCTAATGCTTTTCACCTGATCACTGTGCATATCCGCATTGGTATATGGGTAACTGGATTTATCAACGCTATGTTTTAAGCTCTTACATCATTGAACGATTAAAAACTATTAAATATTTATTCATATGTCAGTCACCTATTGCAACAATATCGTGTACATTTTTCCAAGCATTTTATTCCATACGATTAATACACATGTTTACAACAATGTTGGAGCTTTAAGAACGCTATTACTCGAACGCTTAGTAACCAACTAAGGGTAACGAATAATTAACTCATAATATCAGGCAGGCGGTGGCGCTACCTATGAAGGGATGGCTTGGATTTTATTTATTGGACAAACGTGTACTTAGCCAAATTAAAAATATGGTATTTTGGATATTCATCAAGTAGCCTGGTTTTAAAGTCAAACAACATAAACATTAGAATAACGCCAATTAATTTTGTTAAGTATAACTTTAAAAAATCATAACTTGTCTTAGAAAGTTTGAAAACCAACAGGTAATGAATAATAATAAAATTAGAAAGTCTGTTCAGATAATATAGTAGTACTATTGTGTTAGCGACAATTTTTATCTTCTTCGAGCTAGCAGATGTAATGTTTTATATTTCACGATGAATGTATGTTACCCGTCAACGTTTTGAACGTTGGCTGTGTAACTTTGTAACAAAACTCGGTATTTTTTGCACTGACGAAAATAAACTTCCAATATAAAACAATATTTTCGATTGATTAATCGATGTTGACCATATAATCTTAAAGTAACCCTAATAGTTCAAAGTTGAAATATACGTTTTTATATTACGTAACATAAAAGGTTTAATCACCATTGCTTTACCTTTCAAGGTTAAAAACCCAACAGTGACTAAGTCATAAACAAACCCACGGTCTAATCAGGTAACATCAGTTTTATTGTGGTGACAGCGATGTTTAAATTTTAAACGGGAGGGGGCGTGCTAACAAAGGTTAATTTGCTCATTGTTTTGTATATATGCATTCAGGTATTTTTTATTGTTTTTCCGTGATGATATTTTGAGCAGTGATAGTTTTTCTTGTTGCATTACATTAAAAAAACAAAAAAAAACTTGATAATTTGAAACAGTAGATCTTGTTACATCTGCAATTGTTATTTTCTGGCCGTTATATTAAAATTTCCTGTATATATAACACCAACTTCTGTTATAACATGGCCACGAAATATATATTGGAAGTACGAGCCATAAAATATACTTTATAACATTGTCTTGCTAGCCGTCCCTAATTCAGCAGTGAAAGGCAGCTAGTCGTCACCACCCACCGCCAACGTTTGGGCTACTCTTTTACCAACGAATAGTGGGATTGACCGTCACATTATAACGCCCCCACGGCTAAAAGGGCGAGCATGTTTCATGGGACGGGGATTCGAACCCGCGACCCTCAGTTTGCGAGTCAAACGCCCTAACCGCCTGGCAATGCCGGGCCTTCGGT